CTGTCACAGCTAGGGCATTCTAGCCAAAAACTAATAAAGTCAGTTAGGTCGCCTTCCTTGTGAAGATCTTTTAAATCCCACTTGAAATCATAGTAATGTGAACAGTAATGATAGTTGATATGAAATACATCAGTGTTACCTTGTTGATGAGAAAGCTTCATAAAAAAATCTGATGGCTGTATTTATGAAGAAAATACATATTTTCCTAAAGATTTTCTACTAGTCTTCATAAGTTGATTATACATTCTTTCAATGAAAAAAATCAAGTGGTTTTTTATCTATAGAGTTAAATCCAGATAATGAATAAAATAACAAATATCTATAGAGTTAGATCCAGATAATCAAAAAAGAATAAAGGCAAAAAAATCCACAATGAAAGAAACTAGGTAATAATAAAAAAGAAAAAAGAAGAGAACTAGTATTACACTGAAACTTTAGAAACTAATTCATTATTTCACCTGGGTTCACAGCAGGCTAGCTGAGCACAGGAAAAAAAAGTTTCATATCTATCGATTAGAATATTTGAGCATAATTTTTATCCTTTTATTACGTTTGTTGTGCCCTGGAAGGCTGGTCATTTCTCTCAGTGGCCAAACACAAAAAAGAGGGTGCTTTAAACATAGTTATCTGAATTTGATCATTTTTCCCATCACAAAATAAAAGCCAGATGTATTTGTGTTATCATTACCCAGACAAAGACATCAGGGTTATAAATCTGAAGATACAGTGTGAGTCCTAAAAGTCTCTAGGTAGATGTGTATAGGTGAGAGATAAGAAAAAATACCAATTTAAAATGAAAGTTTCTGCTTTTGTAGTGTATCTATTCCTGTGGTTTATTAAAGAATCAAAGCTTCACTTATAACTTTTTTGAAAATCTCTTTGGAAGCTAGTTGAGGACAGAAAAAGGGCAAATGTGAAAAATATGGAGGAGAAACATTACTGGGAAAGATTGTACAAGCCATTGCTTGCTAGCAGGTTCAATTATGCTACTTATTTTGTGTGCTGAAAAAATGTATTCAAACAGATCTTTCAGATCTTTACTAATCTAAAAAGCAATTCATAAATAACACAGGAAAAAAAACAACATCTTTAATTTTGTGTGTAAACCTTCCTCTCAACATGTTATTGAATTTGAAAAGGATTACAAAATCAGAGCAGTTTAGGAAAACAACTAGGGAAAGAATACAAGGGACAAGTGTAACCAAGCTCAAGAAAATGCACAGTAGAGTGCAGAAGAAGTTAGATAGGGTAACCTCTACCTCACTAGGAACTTTTTTTCAAAATTTTAGCAGGTTGTTGAATTTTCCAGTTTTAGAAAAATCAGTGAAAAAAGAGTTATAAACCATCTAAATATTCAAATTGAGAGAAGTGGGGAAGAAATTGCTCACAGAGTAGTTATTAGTAGCTCATTGGCAAATGATAGCTATCCTAATAAGGACAGAATATAACTTTCAAATATTTTTACTAAACTGAGAAAGAAGGCATGTCCATCCTTTGAAAACCTGATTAAAATTTTATAGTTTATTTTTTTAATATTAGTAATGACTCTTCTGATCCTCTGCCAAAATTTTGGCCAAGCCTAAATTGAAATTCAAAGAAAAAACAAAGCAGAAAAAACAAAGCACCAAATAAAAGCCAACCAAATGTGAATACAAACAAACAAAAATACAACCTGAGGAAAAGAAAACAAAACACTAAGTAGTCTGGTTAATACACAGCAACACAGGAGTGGAGAAAGGGGAAACAAATTTGAGATTAACATCTCTACCACATTTCACCAAAATTACCAGCCAAAAATGGAATGAAACAACAAGTACCAGCAGAACTACCAGCCTGCTTGGCACTAGATATGCAGCAGCCAGTTCAGATATGTGACTATTTCTGCCACCATGTTTCTAAAATATGTAAAACAACTGTGAAGTGTCCAAAGAACTATATGGGATAAAACTGATCTATAAAATATAAGAAATCAAAAGATTTAGATATTCCCTACTGAGGAAAATGGGAACATAAAGTTGGATAAATTCCTAATTACAAACACCCCTGTGTTTTGATAAACCAAAAAAACCCCTAACAACCAATAGAAATAAATATCGAGATCAACTCAGAGGTTGTAGAAATATTTTTGCTGTAAGTGCTTAAAAAGAAAGAATAAACTTTTATTCTTAAATCTGTTTCAGAAGGTCTATGAAATCATCATTTTGCCTCCCAACTGGGGAAATCTTGATTCTCTCTAACAGTTCTAAATATAGAACTCTATTTTTGATTCAGTAAAATGGGAGACAAATGAGTTTAACACCCCATGTTTTTGGAAGCCTAATAATTGAGAAGAGATAATGAGAGTTTTTATGCAAAAGCCTAGAAGAAATGAGTTTACATCTATCTAGTATCAAGAAAGCTAAGAGACCCCAAGCAACTACTGTGGGAAACTGAATTTTACGTGCTTTTCACAACCAAGCAGATATTTGTGAAGGTTTCAGCATGAGCATATGTGGTGTGTTACATGACAAGTTGAATATATTTAACTCAGCCAGCAATTATCAATTAAAGGTAATTCACATTGGTAGAATAAAGACTTATCTATGAGCTAAGCAAACAATATTAACAAGTTTTAGCTTTAAATTATAATCCAAGTTTTACAAAGGGGAAGAACTCTTTCCTGGAGATCAAATGTTTTGTGATATAACAAGATTTAGTTGTGTTCATTGTCCTAGTAAATGGAGGAATAAATCTGAAAGAAGTGAATCAGCTGCTTTAGGGTAATAAGTCCTGATCATGACTTTTTTGAAGGTCAGTTATTTTTGAACCTATGGGTGACAGCAGTAACATATACACAAACTAAGCCAAATTCAGAAGCTAGTTTCTACCAAATGTGGAAAGACTTGACACAGTTTCAGTTGCTTAACAGGGTGAACATTTACTTTTTCCCCAGAATAAAGTGCCTTTGAATGATGAAAGCTGCTGATAAAAGGGATGACAGACAACATACTTGCAATTTTCCAGCCTTCTGCTTTCTTATCCTGTTGAGAGCCAGTCCACGAGACAGGTCTACAGGAATTTGCATTGGACACTTTCAAAATAATTACATAAAAGCTTTGGGCATGAGCTGGGTGGAAACTAGCAAGTCAGTAAATGAAAAAGCAGCTTTTATGTGGTATCTGTCTGCATAAAGTCAGGAAACTGTAACACCTCTGACCTAAAGACCAAGTATAGACAAATATCAAGCTTTGCACTGCTCACCATGCTCTCTGCAACTTTTGTAAAAGAGAGTTTATCAGCATGAGATACAAATTAATGAGTATTTTTTTAGGTTACCTACCATGTAATATCTGACCGACAGAAAGCACTGATGTTAAACAGACTACAGATAGATCTGTCAACATCATATGAGATGAAATTTAAGATATTTTCATTACACATAATGCTTTAATTCTTCAGTAAATGACAGTGATAAAGTGTTTGAATATTTTCTGGTTAAATTTTATTTTTACATTGGAATTATTTCTCTTGACTTTTTATGTGGACACATTTGACTTAATAGTTTATGAACATTCCATCTGTAATCCCTCAAATGTTTTGCTAGACAACATTTATGAGTCCACAGCCTGCAATCTAACACTTTAAATCCTATTGTCATCAGTGTGCAGCTTTTCAAGAGCGTGGTTACAGAACAGTATAAAATCAAAAACAATATTTCATTTGGATTGGACCTCCAAAAATCATCCAGTCTGACTGCCTGAGCACTTCAGGGTTGACCAAAAATTGATAAAAATTATTAAAGTTTTTGTCCAAAACACCTCCAAAACACTGACAAGCTCAGGGAATGAACCACCTCTATAGGAAACATATTCCAGTAATTGACCACCCTCTCAGTACAAAAATGCTTTTTGATGGCTACTCTAAACCTCTCCTTATGGTGCCCACTGCTGCAATTTAAAGTTGTTAACTGAGTGCTAAATTCAGTATTTGTCAAAATAAAATGTGAGGCATTAAGGTGGCTATTAGTTCGTACAGTTTTACAGAACTCATTATAGCTAAAGGGGTTCTTAACTCCAAATATTAACTAGGATTCCAACCTAAATTTAAATCAGCTTGAAATTGGTGGGGTGAAGAAAGAGGGAAAGGAAGGGGGTAGGTAAGATGACAAAAAAATAAAAGAGTAAGGTCTGAAATAGCTTTCAGATTTTTCAATTCTTTTTTTTTCCCTCTTCTAGCTTTTTCACATTGCAACTCAGTTAGAAACAGAGGTTTTAAGTATGTGGAGAAAAATATGTTATCTTTGTATGTTCATTGGATGCCATTCTGCCTTTTTAAATACCAGCATATGTGCATATAAACATTCCTCTACTTTGCCTCATCTCAAAGATATGCCTTTATTTTCAAAGGTTCATAAAATGTATTGATACACTACATAGGCTAAACTACTTAGCTTTATACATGTATATTTCCTTGGGGAACCTTCAGCATATTTGCTGATATTAAACATTTGCTTTTTAAAATGGAAATATCTAGGCAAGTGGCAATCCTCTGTACTATTTTTATTTAGTGGAAACTTTTATGAAATTTCAAGTGTTTAAAGGAAAACAGCAAATCTGTCACTTTGCTCATGTGACTAATAGCTTTTGAAATAGAGATTGATTAATTTTGTGACTGGAAAAACTTGAAAGGGTAGCTAAATTTTTAAATAGAAAACACTTCCTCATTTTTCAAGTAGAATAAGTAAATAGGTTAGCTGATATTGTTATGAGGATAAAAATGTGTTAGTCATTTCAGGGATATTTGAATTCTGCAGTAAACACCAAAGGAAAATTTAATTTTCATTTAACTGACAGAAATTCAAAGTGTATTGTGTATTTCAAAAGTAATTAAACAAAACAACCAAACTTACTAGGTCAGGTGTGGAGTCACAAACTTCTAAATCCTATGCATACAAAATTTCTTCTGAATCAAAGCTGAAAAATGAGGATTTTTTTTTTTCCCATGCAGTACAATGAGAGTGGTTGCATGAACTAAACCAGATAGTCCTGTAGGAAGAAAAATTTATATGGTTATTCACCATAACCTATTTCATTTGACCTTTCCATGCCTGAAAATCCCTTGATAAATTCAGTGTATTAAAAAATATGATTTTAGGATTCATATCAGAAATAACCTAATTTAATAATCCCTATTTTCTCTTCACTGTATAGTGAAACTTAAACTAATGTCTGGTTCAGTGGGTGAATTCAATGTGGCTCACTATTGCTGTTGCTTATACATAATCCACAGCATTTCATAAGACTACAGGAAAACTATTTTTACTGCACTATAGGCCTAGTTATAACAATAGAAACATTGCATATTTCTATCAAGAGGTTAGTTCAGTGTTTGGGAGTGACACCTTTGTTCTGGGAGTGAGGCAGAGAATACCTAGCTATAAAAGCCTGGTAAGCTGTTGGGTAAAAATGGGTATGGGATAAACTTCACCTTGTATCAACCAGTCAGCTGAATCTGCCAGGGTGCTTGTTATTTTTCCAGAAAACTCACAGGCTTTGCATGTGAAAATACAGAATATCTTCAATTATTAGGACTTAGGCTAAATAAAATTCAACAACATATCCTTAGGTAAGAAATGAAAGACAGAGAAAACAAACACAGGCACACAGCACAATTGTACTGCTGTGGATCTGTTATACACTAAAAACTATCACAGCTCTCAGACTGCTTTATGAAAAAATTCTTCAAGACACTGCATCTCACCTAATTAGGAGAAAAAGGATCTTCCTATAAATGCTTCTTGTGCATTTATGTTCATAGTATTGCAAACACACATTTCAGGAAATGTTATTTAACAACTTTGACATTAACTATTAAGTGAGCTTTCAACAGTAAAGGTACAATTACCACAGTAACTGGAAACATTTCAAGAGAAACTCAGTTCTCAAACTAAAAGGTGTTGGTTCCTTTAAGGACAGTATCATAAAAGCTAAACTTTAACCAAGTATAATCTTGGTTAATCTTGAAATTTGAATGAAATTTGAGTCCTATAAATAAAATTATTGCAACTTTGAGAAGTTTCAGGGCAACATGCAAATTATAGTGATTTATCCACTCTACGTATTTTCCTTCTGTCTTCAACTCACCAGAATAGAACCATAAAGGACTCCTATGCCGTGTGAGTGTTCTATCTGAGTAAAGCAGTATTGTAGGAATCTGCATGGAGCAATATGCCCTCCATCCATTTAAATTTGTATGTCAATTAACAGATTATTATTTAGCAGGATAAATTTTGTGTACAATGCAAATAAAGCATCAAGATACTTTCTATGCAAGTATTGTATGTCTAACATAGTCCAGTTAGGACAAAATATAATTTTTGATCAATAATGGGCACCAAATCACATTGTTTAATATTATAGTGGTTTTCAATAATTTTATAAAATGTGTCAAAGTCAAAAATGTTTTGTCTGCATTGTTTAAAAAGATTTCTAGGAAGTGAGACAATTTTTTTTTTGGGGAAAGATTTGCAATGTATAACACAGGTCAATTTCTTCAAGCTGTTGCTTATTATACAGATTCTGTTTAATAGGATTATTTTTTTCTTCCCCTTTATACTATTGTATTTCCTCAGCAGTTTGAGTCAAAAAGCCTGTTATGGTAGAGTCACCAGAAAGAAAGAAATACAGGACGCAATTAGAGTCTAGGTCTGTTTTGTGTGCCTTTGAGGCAAAACTATTCCCTCTTTTCAACGTTGAAGCTACAGTAAACAGTAATGAAACATGGTTCAGAATTTAAAGCACAAATAGGATGCACACTTCCTTGTCTATATTTTAAAGATGAGAGTCCTTAACGTACAAGATTCTATGGTTATGTCTGAACATTTTTAAAGCCTGTAAGAGATCTTGTGGAAATTCAGAATATGTAGTGTGATATTTGAGAGACTGAAATCCTAAGCACGTAAAAAATTTAGCTGTACAAGAATAATACATGAGAATATTTTTAATGGTTTGATTTTAAAGCTCAAACATACCATTTGAGAGAATTTAATTTTCAGTCTTTAGTAGACCAGTATCTCTTCTCTTTTTAATAAAATTTTCTTTTATGAACTTATTCATTTAATTAGTTAGTGAAAAAGCTCAATACATCTTAAACCACAAAATTATTAATATACTGTGATCCCAAGAGTAATACTGTATTTTAAGAAAATATGAGTTCTATTGAATGATCTTTTGAAACACAGTAGATAATTTTGTTGAAAGAACTGAAATTTGAAAACTGAGCCTTTGAAATACTCACTGTTGGGAGTCAAAGTTGCAAATAATATCTTTGAGAAACAAACAAATGAGTCACTTGTGAAACAGGGAGTAGAAGATTTTCTTAATCAAAGAACTGATTGACAAAAGAAAGTGGGAATAATACTCTGGAAATCAGACATCTGTACAGTGTATATATATGTATATGTAAAGTGGGTTTATACATCAATTAAATAACTGAAATCTTCACATCCTGTCCTTGTTCTACAGTAGAATCCACTTGAATTATAAAATTAGTTCTGCCAAAATGATACTCTTTAGAACATTTTAATTCAAGTGTAGTCTACTGGAAAAAGGGAAATATAGTCAAGTATTATTTCAAAGGGGATCAGGAGAGTTGTCGCACAATTGGGCACAAAAAAATCTGCATTCTAGTCTTACTTAGGTTGCCCTCTGGAAAACTATCAAGCTTCAGGGCTCTACACCACTTGTAATAGCAAATGCTTTTACTTGAGTTGTCTTTTTTTTTTTTTTTTTACACAAATATAAAATAAACAACTTCCCCAAACAGGCAAACAAGCCATAGTTGTCTCAAATCTGTTGTAACTATCATGCTCCTCAGTACAGGAGCCCAGTCTTTTTCACCAGAAAGAATCAGAACCTTAGAAATGTTCTTTATTTTTTTTTTTTTAATTAGATTCTGACTTCTGTGTGAGAGTAGCAAAAGTTTGCTCAAGTTGAATTGTAAAAGAAATGCTTAAAGTATTTAATGGTCTTCAATGCCTCTAATTTTGTCTAAAATAATGAATATATAAACCAGTGAAGTATAATTCAGAATGTAAAGATCTTTAAGCACCATGTATTTTTTGTGAAGTTTAATTTTGAAACAGATGTATTATTTTTTGTACTGTGAAACTATTTGAATCCAGTTTGTTCTAGTTATCAAAAACCTTGAAATTATCAAAGACACAATCATAACAGCTTGCCTTTTTTCCTAAGCAATTTTTATGAACTTGAAGATCAACATAGATAAATGAAATTATCTAGGAGGAGATAGTTAGAAATTTGAAAAAATGTCAAATTTTCAGATTCTTTATGACAAATATAGGTATCTCTGTATCACAGCATAATTAAGACATCTGGACATAATCTAGTTTACCTGCCTACCAAGTGATGGCTTCAGGAAATCAAATACTATCCCAAATATAAATAACTTAAAACCCCAGATGTAAGCCTTAATTAGATAAAAACCCTTTCATCTTTACTTACATAGGTGATGACACAAATTTCACATAATCTCTGTTTATGTAAGTAAAAAGCTCTAAATCCACACAATCAAATATGCTGTTCAATCAAGCTGACAAGAACCTCCCTAGGACAATTGACTATTTCTTTGTAGCTCATCTGTTGGACAACTCTCTACTTCTTCCTCTATCTGAAGCAGAGCCTCTGAGGATATAAATGGTCCCAAAATTCTCCTGTGAGTATTCCTTCTTATTCAAATTCTCTGTTGTGCATGTATCTCTTTACTCAGGGGCCAAAATCTGCATATGACTTTTACCATTTTAAGACCTATTCTAGCATTTGGCTTGTAATAATACTATTCACGTGACAATTCACATTACTTCTATTTCATATTGTTAAGAAGATTAGAGAACATCATTGCAATAAAGGCAAAAGTCAGCTCCACCGTGCAAGAGCTCAGGGTCTATATACAGGCCATAAAAAAAGAAATTAAGTCACCAGGCCTTCAACAATCCACAGTCTCCAGTGATGTGATATTAAAATATAACTTAACACACAGAAAAAAGGAAAGGGTAACAAGGAAACTTTCTGAATAAACTTAAAAAAAAACACCAAAAAAATTCAAAGCCACAACCACTTGAAATAATTAACAAAGTGAAAGATGAACAAATATAATAGATATTAAGATCATTTTCCTGCAATTTCTCATCAGAAAAAGCTAATTGTCTTAGTATACTTTGGCTACATTTGCACATGATAGCTCTGTGTACAGCTGCCACTAATGTTATGAATTGATCTCCAGTTTGAAAATGCAAAAAAACTTACCTTTATATGAACACACTCTATACAACAAAACTTCTATCCATCAAAGGTTGTTAATAATCAAACCAAAAAAAAGTACCTTTGGAGCAGGTTGTCTAAACTTTTCCACTCATATTTGTTTATATCTACTACTCAAGAAAATTTACACCAATTTTTCAAGAGTAGAATCTTTTAAGAAAGGAAATAAGCCAATTTTATTTTTTTGCACCTTATAAAAATGGTAATTCTACTTTTACAAACTTTGCCCTTGAATTTTCCTTGTTATTATAACATAAGCAAAATCTGACATCTGAGAATGTTTATGTCTTTTAGAAGTCATAGTTTATTGTAACTGAATTTCCTATATGGTTTTGTAAATATCAATTTAATTAATCACCCATCTGTGCAAAAAGTGAGCCAATTCAATGCCAAAGACTAAAAAGCCTTTTTTCTTTCATTCAGGAAGCAGGGATTTATTCTCTTTCATCTCCCATGTTACAAATAAGACTTTCCTTCTTGCTTTTATTGTCCATTTAAGGATCAGATATTTAAATTAGTTGTTGGAGAATGAGAACATTTCAGTATTTTATAAGTTAATTATAACTCATTTAATGACAATAATTTGATTTATTATTTGATGACAGTCTCATTTTTAAAATAGATGAGATACTTATTGATGTTTAAAAACACTTTTTGGAATTGATGCCATGCATCATGTCTTTGAAAACCACACACTAATTTAAAAA